AGAAAACCTGAGCAGAATAAGGAGTAACAAGACTGAGTCACTAAAAAAGATTCCCAGCAGAGAAAGCCCAGCACTTATGTCTTCATTGCTGAGTGCTATCAAATGCTATAGAAAATCTACATCCATTCTTAAACTATTCCAAAATGTTGAAGTGGAGGAAATTCTTCATAATACATTCTACAAGGCAAGCATTATCCTGATTTAAAAAAAGGAAAACAGACAAGGACACAACAAAAATAGATAACTGCATGCCATTATCTCTGATGAACATAGATGCAAAATCACCAAGAAAATAATAGCAAACAGAATCCAGAAATCAAAAAGATAGCAAACCATGGGCAGGGCACAGTAGCTCACACCTGTGCTCCCAGCACTTTGAGAGGGCGAGGAGGGCGGATCATTTGAGGTCAGGAGTTTGAGACCAGCCTGACCAACATGATGAAACCCCATCTCTACTCATTAAAAAAAAAAAAAAAATTAGCCAGGCATGCTGTCGCACGGAGGCTGAGGCAGAAGAATCTCTTGAACCCAGGAGACAGAGGTTGCAGTGAGCCAAGACTGCGCCACTGCACTCCAGCCTGGGTGACAGAGCGAGACTCTGTCTCAAACAAATAAATAAAAAAAGAATAAACCGTGATCAAGCTGAATTTATCCCAGGGATGCAAGGATGAGTCAACGTACACAAATCATTCAACTTGATACATCAATACAATGAAGGACAAAATCCACATGATCATCTCAATAGATACATAAAAAGCATTTGATAAAATTCAGTATAAAAGTCTCAGGAACTGGGTATAGAAGGAACATACTTGAAAACAATAAAAGCCATGTCTGAAAAACCAAGAGCTAACACTGTACTGAATGGTGAAAAGTTGAAAATCTTTCCTCTAACATTGGGAATAAGAGAGATGAACACTGTCGTCACCACTTTTTTTTTTTTTGAGACCAAGTTTTGCTCTTGTTGCCCAGGCTGGAGTACAATGGTGCGATCTCGGCTCACTGCAACCTCTGCCCCCCAGCTTCAAACAATTCTCCTGCCTCAGCCTCCGGAATAGCTGGAATTACAGGCTCATGTCACCACACCCAGCTAATTTTTATATTTGTAGTAGAGATGGGGTTTCATCATATTGGTCAGGCTAGCCTTGAACTCCTGACCTCAGGTGATCCACCCACCTTGGCCTCCCAAAGTGCTGGGATTACAGGGGTGAGCCACTGCACCCAGTCCACTGTCACCGCTTTTATTCAACATTAATTTTAGGAAGAGCAATTAAACAACAGAAAGCAATAATGGCCATTTGGAAAGGAAGAAGCCAAGTTTTCCTCGTTGCAGATGACACTGTCTTACATTCAGATAAACTTAAGAGACCCCACCAATAAACTGTTAAAGCTGACATTCAGTCAATTTGCAGAATACAGAATCAAAATACAAAAATCAGTAGCATTTCTATATATCAACAGCATGCATTCTAGAAATCAAGAAAGCAATCCCATTCACAATAGCTACATAAAATAAAATGTCTAGAAAAAGTTTTACCAAAAAAATGAAAGATCTTCACACTAAAATTATAAAATGCCAAAAATATTTAAGAGGACATAAAAAAGGAAAGATATCAGTGGCTCACGCCTGTAATTCCAGCACTTTGGGAGGCCGAGGTGGGTGGATCACAAGGTCAGGAGATCGAGACCATCCTGGCCAACACACCTCTACTAAAAATGCAGAAATTAGCCGGGTGTGGTGGTACACACCTGTAGATCCAGCTACTCGGAGGCTGAGGCAGGAGAATCACTTGAACCCAGGAGATGGAGGCTGCAGTGAGCTGAGATTGCACCACAGCACTCCAGGCTGGGCAACAGAGTCAGACTCTGCCTCAAAAAAAATATATATATGTTTATGAATTGGAAAATTTGATTTTGTTACAGTATCCATAATGCCCAAAGCAATCTATACATTTAATTCAGTCTTTTTCAAAAAAACCAATAAAATTTTTCACAGAAATAAACAATCTTAAAATTCATATGTAACCACAGAAGACCCTGAATAGCCAAAGAAATCTTGAGGAAAAAGAGAAAAGCTGGAGGTATTACACTACCTGACCTCAAAATATACTACAAAGTTACAGTAATCAGAATGCGTGGTGCTGGCATAGGGACAGATACAGAGACAAATGGAACACAGAGAACCC